CTGTGACTCGACACTCTGCCTCCAGAGGCAAGGGAGCTCGCGTGGGCTGGGGTTTTGCAAGTGCAAGTCGTTCAGTCCCTCTGAAATGAAGGGTCTTCTTGCACTACTTTCCTTTACCGGATTGGCCTAAAAGAATACAGGCTATAGTAAATTACTGCTGAAAATGCTGTTAGTTAGCTCTAACATGCCTGGCCTGAGGTTGGCCTTGTTATTGAAGCATGGAGGATGTCCAGTTTCTCTGAACAGATTAAGAGGGCTCTTGCCTAACAGAAAGGAGCAGACAGGGCATCTGAAGTAAAAAGGAACATTTTTACCATTTATTAGGGGAACACAGATACCTGTTAGCTGGAGGGCTTTGCAAACTTGAGCTTTGGTGCTTCTTAAACCCCTAAAAGGCCATGAGGGACTCAGTGTTCAAAGAACAATGTTGGATGGATTTCCTCAGTGTGAGTTTCCCAGAAACTGAAATTTACCTCAGTGTCATTAGGGGAACACAAGATAAACTTAAAAGCAAGTTAGCTTCTGAAGCAAGAATACTAAATCATGTGGTCATGAAACACTTCTGTAGGCTTTTTCCAGAAGTTCCCTGGGGTTTCTCCATTTTTCCATTTTCCATTTCTCCATCTGCCCTGCCAGAGCTGGTCAGCAGCCTACCCGCTCCTGCCAACTGGATATCTCTACAGTTGGGTTTCTCTTGTAGGAAAAAAATGCCTTCAGAATAGCGAACGATGCCATTCTCCGTTACTCAAGCCACTTCTTTTGGGACCAGACCCAAAGAAACTATAATCCTTTTGGATTGTCTTTTTGCTGCCATGCTACCAGGCCAGTCTGGGTATCTGCTGCTCTTCTTGGTGAAGGCTAATAGGGTCCTTTTGTGGGAATAGTCAGGTTTCTTAGAAAATTATTTCAGTACCAGATGTCAAAACTGCCTTAATATGTATATGCAAATGTTTCAGACCCTGGCAGCTGTCTCATTAGTCTTTGCTTTCCATTACTCAATGCATGTGAAATAATTGCAATGCTGTCTGGCCGTGCTGGGTGCACAGAGGTGGAAACGATGCATTCCCCGCTAAGCAGCACAAGGCAGGGAGGGGAGGTATAGTACACGTGGGCCTGGATGGCTTACAGCACTGCAGGCTTGCAGTGTTGGAAAGGTACTCCATCTTCCTAGCTGCTCAGTCTGGCTCACTGGGATTGGACCACCGTGAACTGTCTTGCATTTTGCATTTGTGCATTTGGTTTTGGTGTCGAGCAGTGCCTTAAAGTGTGGTGTCACTTGTACAAGGCGGATCTCTTCCACTGCCACGTGATGTTAGCATCCTCCCTGCTGCCTCTCTTGTCTTTCTAGTTTCAAGATGGCAATTGCTTGCTGGTATAACACTGCCCTTAAACACAGAGCTTTTGGTAAAAGGGAATGAGCTTGTCTGTGCTGTGAATAAAGATTATATTTTTGGTTATCAGTGTAGGGTGTCTGTGGTGTGCAGTCCTGTCTAACATGGAGGACATGCGTGGTTGTCCAGGCCAGCAGGGATCCCAGCTCCTCTCTTAATGATCTGCACAGTGCATAAAAGCGCTGAGACATGACACAATGGTGCAGAGCAAACTTCCGCCCTCCCGCTATAGTGGTCGGGGCCTCCTCCTCAGAGCCGCTCGCCCCAGGGGTGATGGCCCCTGCTCTACCGGTGCCCCCAGCCCCTGGGTGGTGGCTGGCTGGTTGCCCACAGCAGGGAGAATTTTGAGGAAGGAGGATGGGCTACAGGACCTTGGGGAACAGGTGAAGAAGCAGGGGTAGACAACGTTCATTGCTCCTGAACAAACAAGTGTGGTAACGCTTGTGGCTGCCTTGCATCCAGCAAACGTGCCGACACTTAGCAGCTCACCTCCTTCCTCCAGCAACTGCAGGCACATATCTATTGCATGTTTGCCTGATCAGAGACAGGGTGGCTCCAAAGCAGCTCAGTCAGGTCAGTGCAGTGTTATGTAGCTCCTGGACAGTGTTCAGAGATGCACAGGTTTCTCCACCCCCTCTTTTTTCACGGGGAAGATTGTGTAGCACTTCAGTCTCCTTGTGCTAAGCTCTAGGGAGTACTTGCGAATAATAATTACTCAAGACTATAGAGGCTACTGTAATCAGAGTGATGCCAAGCTGAGAAGAGCCTACTTCAAGTTGAAGTATATTAACATATCTTATACTGGAAAGTAGAAATCTGAATAAAGAAGCCTCATTTTGAAATGCAAGAAACAAATTCTGCTGTTTGCACTGGTTACTGTGATAAGGCCCTCCATCTACTTTCTCCGCTTGAATTCATTTCCTTCTCCTCTTGAAGAGAGTGAGCCTCTCTTGAGGATCATGATCATCCTCACCCATGGAGCCTCAAAATGAAAATGCCCTTGCAGAAAGGAAAGGGATTCAACTGCAAGACAAAAATAGCGTGTTGCTAAGGTAGTACCAACACTCTCCTAAGCCCATCTGTTCTCCTCTTGCAAACAAAGCGCGCGCGCACACACAGACACACACACACCCCCAGAGCTCCAATATCAACTGATCCCATCCTCCATGAATTGCTCTAAAGCTGAGCCGGTACTTTTGAAAAGCCTCTCTTTGCAGGAGTGCCTACTCTGCAGAGTTGCTTAAGGAGCCCAAAACTCTCCCTGCTCTGACTTCTCAGAGTAATGCTCTGCCGTGCTGCAGCTCTTGAGGCTTTTTCCCCTAGATATGGCAGCAAGCCATTAATGGAGGCAGGGAAGAGGAATAGGGCCTAAACAGGTGCCTAGGAAGCACAAGCAATAAAGCAAGGTCCCTGCCTCAGAGCTTCTTTAAACATAAATACTTGTGAATGAGAAAGGAAGCGTGGAAGTGTCAGTGGCTAATGCCTTCAGCAGATGTTTCACGTGAATAGATTATGCTGAAAGGTAATTGTTTGAAAGAGGAAAAAATAGCAGTTTATGGTTCCTTGTACAAGCTTGCTTCTTCATCCTTGTAAATCTACCCTATAAACCAAAAGAGGCCGAGACCCTGTAAGTAAAATAAAAGGTCTAATGTACTGTACGTGCCTGAGGGGGCTGAATTACAACTGCACCGACAGCTGCAGTACCGCCTGTCCTCCCTTCCAGCTCCAAGATAAAGAATATTCTTCTCATACAGGAAAAAAATTCCCAGCAGCTTTTCAAGTGTAAAAGCCAAACTTACTAAATTTCAAGTTCTTTCATCTCAGCTTTGCAAGCCAAATTTGGATGCAGACACTGCCCGTGCAACCATGAGCTAGGGATGAGGACAGGAAAGCTGGGCTTGGTCATGCATCTCCCCTTTTCTGTCCTCCTCCCTTCTAGGCCAGTCTTGCAGTAAAGGTGGGCACAGGTTTCTATGTTGATGGGCTCAGGCTCCCCTCCCCGAGGAGCACGTCTATGGAAGAGAACGGTTTTCTGAAGCTCGGTCAAATATACCTGAAAAATAATAGTGCTCTGCACCGCACATCACCAACCGCAATCGTTCTCTCCCACACAATCCCGGAGTGCACGGGGCACTGGGAAGACTGGCATGTCTCAAATAAGTATGTCTGGCAACTAAGATACTGGCTACTGTATTCTCCTGTCCTACAAATATGGGTAATTCTCTAAATATTTCAGGCCAAAACAGGGTAGTGATTATCTGGCTTTGAATGTGATACAAGGATGAATAGAAACTCTCCCTTGAAGAAAATCACGTGATAATTTTAAACTATTTGTACATTGTCTTTGACACCCTGCCTGATGTGGGGAAAAACAAGACAGGACTTCTCTGAGATGAGTGTAAGAAATCTCACTGCGGGTGAGATTTCTTCCTGGAAGAAAGAAAGATAGGTCACTTCCTTTCCTTTCCTTTAAGTCATGGACTGTAGCAGGCACCGAAAGCTTTTTCCTTTTTCAGTTTCTCAGGAAGCGAGCACAGCTGCTCAGCTGGGAGGGGAACTGGGCGGTTTTCCTTACTTGGCCTCGGGGTACACCTCTGCGTGTTACGGGCTCCCTGTGCGATGTTTAGCAGAAGTCAGGCTAGTAGAGGGGGTGAAAGCTGCCAGCCGTTGTATGGGGCAAAAGCTGTTTCTGCCCTATGAGATTTATTTCAATGCAATTATATTCTTGCATCCCCAAAGAAGGTCTTAGCCCCACTTGTGGATCAGGACGTTTTATGGCAGAACAGAAAGCCGATTGCTACTTCTTTAGATTTGCAGTCTTGCAGCAATATTTTCCTTGATATCTACAGCAGTTTAAATTTTGTTTGCCTACATATGTCCAAAAAAAGCCCAACCCCTTCACCTCAAATACATGCACGTGCCAGGATTCAGCACTTGATTTACTGCTGCTTTGGAAGGTGAGAGCTCAAAATTTACTTTGAGGAGGCATCTTTGCTCTGCCTCATTTCAGTAACCAAACAGCTCATGAAAACACTCCCAGCTCTGTAAGTTGTGCAAAACTACACATGTGAAACAAGATAAAAAGGCCAAGGTAAAGCATCCCGAGGTACCCCATTCTCCACTCACAGGGGCAGGAGGAGGAGGCATCCCGGGGCTGCTGGGGGAGGAAGGCTGGGTGAGGAGGGTCCCCGCTGCACACAGCGCTAAGGCGGTGTTTTGCTGCTGGCTGGTAGGGCGCTATGGAGGATGTTTTGTGGAGGTCTTGTTATTTTTACATATTATTTGACTGCTTTGGTGCGTGTAGAGCTCCCTCCACCTGCCTGGTATCGATTCCTCCTGCTCCAGCCATGGTGTTCAGGTTTCAGAGGTAATGCCTCGTAGGGGAGTTAATCCTTCATGATTCTGTAGCATGACATTTTCACCGTCTGCCATGTTAGAAATGTAAAAACCCACAAAGGTGAAAGG